GATATTGAAGTGCATATACAGATACAATGTAACATTTCTCCTTAATTTCTCCTAATATCACCATAGCAGCATTGTGTTTCTCAGCTGTAGTCACATTGGCTTTTGGGGATAAGAATTACATCAATTTATTATACTAAATCTATGGATGAGATGAATAAAAATAGATTCATCACAGTGCTGGAAATACTGTATTTTACATGTGAATCTGTCTCATCTGAAATGCTTAAATCACTAGCCGTCTTAACTACCCTATAACGGGGGCTGATGCCACATCTTCAACTGCTGGTGAAACTTGCGGTTCGTATAGATCCTTTTTTTTAAACTATGAAAATGGTCATAAGTTTTTTTTTTCTTTTCCCTTTCTGAGTTGAGTACAAAGCTGATCGCACCTGGGAATCTTTTCACCTATTGCCTGCCTGCTGTGTTGAAAGATTAAAATATTATATTTTTGCAAGGTATTCTATGCAACACGCGTGTTTCTGAGCTAGTTTATACTTATTTTCAGATTGTGTGTGCAAACATCCACAGTCAACTTGGTACTTTTGTTTTATCTCTACCTGTGTGCTTAATTATGAGCCCATCCACTGGCGTGAGCATTACTTTGTTGGTAGTTGGTACAACCGCAACACTGTCACTACTACAGCTACTTTTTAGGTGTTTTAATAACATTCAAATTTAATGTAAAATCGTGTTTAAGGCATTGGCAGCGAACTTTTGACTATAGTTTGAATCATACATGTCTGCATCGGATTGCACCATGATCGTTAGGAAGGTTAAATTTATCTTATTACAAATTTTCATTTCACACAGAAGCACGCACACACACACAAGGCCCTGTTGTACATCTGTGGGTTGTGTGCTTTAAGCTTCTGGAAAGATAAAGTTAGTCATGTCTACCCTTTTTATCAACACAGCACAAACCACCCTGTGTGTGCGAGTCTCAGTTTGTGTTTGCCGCATTTTTTGTGTGTGGTTTTGTCCCTTCATGCCGGAGTGTGTGTGTGTGTGTGTGTGTGTGTGTGCGTGCGTGCATGTATTTGTGTGTTTGCTGCAGTGCCCCTGCTGAAGGGCGAACAGCAAGGCCCTGGTCAGCATGATGTAGATCTCCTGGGATGTCTTGATGTTTTTAGATCAATACTCTTGCTCCTTCATCTTCCTGCCTCCTTGTCCTCACCCCTCCTCACACCTTGGCTTGACTTTGGGCTATTTTTGGTATCTCTAAGGATTAAAAAGACAATCAGTGGGCAAAACCCACTATCACAGTATTTCCCATCCCCATCTAACTTTGTGTATCTGCTTGTGTCAGCTCCTTTTTCCCGAATACTTTGTCTATGTTGTTCTCTTTGGTGTCCCAAACTACAATGTGCAATTCCTCCCACTGTCACAATTGCTTCTCACAAATTGCAAACAAAAGAAAGGGGAAATCTTATTAAAAATTCAGGTGCGATGTGATACACACTGTGTAAGCATGAGTATGCTTTTGCTTTTGAGACAGCAGCTCCAGAAACTGTGAGTGGACCTAACAAAATCTTTTGCCCTTTTTGTGACTTCCTGTGATATCAACTTTTGATATTGTGTCATGACTGTCTCTTGGGGGGGGGGGGGGAACTGAAACCAGTCTACTTACACGGCATCTTAGTGCTGGAATGACTGTTATTTATAAAACTTTGTATGGTACTCCCACAGTTTTATAACTCACACCCACATCAACATCTGAAGAATCAAACAAACCAATATTAGTCTTTTCTTTTTACAAGTTTTTGTTCTAGTTTCCCCCTGCAACTGATTTAATCCATAGGACTTTATTTTCAAAGGTTATAAAAGCACACATGGGATTTATATGTCGTAGTACTTGGTGGGGAATTTATTATTCTCTCAACATCTGTTTTCCAGTGATTACCTTGTTTATTTAAGCAATTGACGGCTTAACTGCAACTAAAAAGTTGTGTTGATGCTACAGCTGCTGAAGAGGCGAAAAACGAATTGTGCATATCATATGACTAGATGTGGACCAACAGTGTTTGTGAAACTCAGTGTTGGTTGCTCAAATCAACAAGTCTCCTAATGATCCCTGAGAAAGACAACAGATTTCTTACATTGTTTTCATTTTTAAAAAAGCCAGATGCACCACTTTAATTTGATCAAATTATGTTTGCATTGAAAACAAATACAGCTGGTGAGGGAATGTGATGCATCCTGCCTGCAAGCTGCCCTAAACCTGATCAGTTTAATGTGGTTTATGTTTGGAATTCAATTGCTGTTCATTTAAAATATTCACATTTCCCACCTTTTTGCTGCATTTCAGGTGCTGACTTTTCTGTCATGCAAAGTTCTCAAATATGAAGTGTATCAGTTGGTTATTTTCAATGGAATTTTTTTTAAAGTGGAGGAACTCTTTTTGTTTTTGTGAACAAAAAATCTTTCAAAATAATCATGGATACTAATATAAATTTTCAATTAATGCTTTAAAGCTCAAAATTTATTCTAGATCAGACATTAGCCTCCAACTTATGTAACCAATGGATCACAGACCACTACCCTCTATAGAACACACACTCCTACTCTTTATCTTGTGCTCTTGTATCTAAATCTGTGGTCTCTGGGGTTTGCTCATATCTCTAACACTAGAATGGAGTTGAACACAATGGCCCCCTGACCCCCTTTTCCTTTAGTGGCAATCCTGATTAGCTAAGTGACAAGCCTCTCCTATGCCATTGTTAATGTATTAGTGTCTTTAATCCCTGTGGAGGGCAATAACTCAGCTCAGCTAATCATGCAGCGATTGTTATCGTGTAGTTGTTCATTGTTAGAAGCTCGAGATATGCAACACTATAGCTGCAGAGATAGATAAAAACAGCTGAGCGAATAGGGGAAAAAGATGTGCTTTGTCTGATGTTTTGTGCAATAGAAACACATTAGAAATGCACTGGATGGTTTTATGATGTTTGAAAGTCATGAAAGGCCAAAAAAGACAACCCAGATAGAGAAATAAATTGTCTTTCATTTACATAAAGCAAGAAAATTTCATTACTGTATGTAGTGATTGTGTGTGTGAATAGCAACTCTTTTACTATCCGATACTATGTCCTATCAAAAGTAGATGATTCCATCAAAAGTACCTCCTGAAATGAGGTGTTGCAGCTTAACCTGGTAAGGTCAAGCTGCAATAACAATATTGAGACTTTTGAAATCAAGTTTTCCTGTAGACAATAACAGCATTTTTTCCTTTTTGGCTACTGGGCTGTATGACTATTTCTCTCAACCAAAAGCTGCTCACGAAACTTTCATTTTGAAGACATACTGAAATGAGATGTGAGCTCTTTTAATATTACTATATATAGACCATTGAAACATATTTTCCATTGAGTTCTTAGCTGTAATCCTTGGTGGAGGGAAAGATTTGATATGCAAAGATGCTGTTTAGTGTTTAGGTGAAAACGTTTCACACCAAACAGATTATCTCCATAACAACTAGAACTCCCTCGAAGTAAGTACGTACGGGAGTGGCAGTTCACCCGAACTGACGTCAAACACTATCCGTAATTATTTCCACTGTTACTCCAGATGCACTCATTAAGTCCATTACAAAGACTTTTATATGTATGTGAACCATGTATACCAAAGTATACATGTGTTCATGTATACGTTGGTGTTTAATCCAAAACATAAGCAGAATGGTAAAAGCAGCAACATTAAAGTTAAGCAATTATGTTACATACCCCAAACATACTAATTCCATGTGACTTTTCCGTATCGTGCATGTATGTGGACAGTCATCTTATTGACTGATGGCTTAGTAAACACTTGCCTCATGCCATTACCATTGTCTGTCAGCACATCTACCGCAGAGTTTAAATTATTACACACATTTCTCATTCATTAATTGCTCAATTGAAACATTATATTTACCTAATCAGAGGAACCCTTGTATTACTAGGTCAAACTGTGTCAAACCACAAATCAAAGGCAAACCAGTTTTTTTTGTTTCAAAGAATGCTTTAATCTCACCAAGTGAAACACACATTCCCACTTGTAAGTAAAACCCACATAGTGATTAATTTGGCAGCTTAGTGGCTATTAAAAATGTTGCTTAAGAGCAATTTCTTTTTAACAGAAAGACGAAAAGAACTCTCCATAGTTGGTTGGCCCACATACCCACCGAGGACAGCTAAATTAATTTTGTGTTTCTTTAAGTACTTAAATTAAGTCTGTGATTGTTGTATATGTTGGTACGTGACAAAGCTTACTTTGCATAGAAAAAAGAAAGAATAGAAGTGAACCCAACCTCTCACAGGATCTCAACTACACAGCTGCGAGGCATCATGGCTGTATCCTGTATGTAGGTAAACCTGTCTCATTTATATAAACTGTCTGATTTGAAACTGACAGATATATAAACATCTGTCAAAGTATTTAAAACTTACTTTATCCCACTATGGAAGGTGCTTCCATGACCCCATGGAAGAATCCATTCTGCCAGGCTTCAACCTTTCTGCTTGTGGCAAGAGCACAAAAGTTTGGACAAATTGCCTGCCAATTCTGGAAACAAGAATGAAGCTTTAGGAGTGTGGTATTCACTGATTAGGTTTACTTTTAGAACTTTGTTGATCTGACAGCTTTCAAATGATTAATTCAGACAGAAAGATGTTTAATCTAGTCACATTCTTGGTAAGTTTTTTACCTGCCTGCTCGTCTTTTAACAATGCACAAAACCTCAGAGATGGTTCTGAACAGAGAACAAAACAGTCTACGTTCACCTTATAAAAAACAAACACACTCTTGTGTCTAAAGCAGAATCCAGGATAGGATAATGATACCTATGCAAACCTTTTTTCCGTCACCGTTTACAGTCTGAAGATGAATACCCTGCACTGATTTTCATAGTAACAATTGTGGCATTTCCTACGGCAAAGGATGTAATGACGCATTTCCTGATGATAGTGCTGATGCTTCTTGTGTTCATTCGATGATAATCCTGAATATTTCTTTTTTGTTTCCAGCTGTTTTTTGGGGTGACATTGCTTTGGATGAAGAGGACCTCCGCATGTTTCAGATCGACAGAACGATAGACCTGACACAACACGCACATATGCATGCACTGTCCCGACAGGGGCACACATCAGGTGGGTGGAAATCACTTGCATTCTTCGATCGCAATGTCACGCTTTTTCTCATGATTCTTCAGCTTAAACAGGAAGGAAGTCGACAGGAGGCCACCTGAGGATATTAGAATGTATCATGCATTGTTTGTTTTGATTTGTTGGCTTTACTTTATGTCAGGTGGCACAGGGGAACATGAAACTGTGAAGAAGGGGTCATTATACCTACTTCTGGAAAGAATACGTAGATTTGGTTTCGGTGAGTAATATCATCATGTTTTGACTATTCCATAATTTAGTGGACCATACCAGTGGCTTTGCATTTTGAAGCTCAGTTATTCTATTTAGCTCATTGATGCTGAATGCATCCTATGATCTTCTTATGAGGCAGATGAGGCGTTTGTCTCCTTTTCAAGGAAACCATTTTCCATTGCTTGTAATATGCATCCATAAAGAGCAGTAAGACACTAAGATGCATTATATGTAATCAATATGATAAAGATATGCTGACTTTAACATTTTATTTTTATTTTTATTACTGTTAATTCAGTGTAGAGCAAAAGTCCTACCCAGTGCCATTCTGAATGTTTTTTACATGGAAAAATGAGAAATATGGCTTTTTAGACACCTGTTTATTTTAGACACATCTGCGATATAATGAGATTCTGTTAAGGTAAATGCCTAAATCAAATCAGATGAATGTTTACACTGTTAAAAGCTCAAAATGTAGTTGAGTTATAAAGTCACAGTCAGCCAAGAAAACTATGCTTACCATGTTCTACATCAGTTATTAGAGGGTTCAACTTCAGGGCACGCTTGTAAACTCTAATCAAATTTAAGTCTCAAGTTCTCAAAATGTAAACAAGGCGATGCAACACAGATGAAATTACTTACACAGGTTAGAACACAACCACAAGTGTATGAACATTAATAGTACCGGTATATAAGAATTTTAAAAAGTGCATTTTACATTGTGTAAAGAACGTATTTATTTAGGGCGTTAGGTGGTGTGGTTGTTAGCACCATCGCCTCACAGCAAGAGGGTTCTGGGTTCAAGTCCATGGGAGAACCAGGACCTCTCTGTGTGGAGTTTGCATGTTCTCCCTGTGTCTGTGTAATACTCTGACTTCCTCCCACTGTCCAAGAACCTGCATGTTAGGTTGATTGGACATTCCAAATTGCCCTTAGGAGTGAGTGTGTGTGGTTGTTTGTCTTTGTGTGTCTATATTTGTGGCCCTGCGATAGACTGGCGGACCGTCCAGGGTGTACCCCGCCTCTCGCCCATTGAATACTGGGATAGGCTCCAGTCCCCCCATTTGGGAATAAGCAGTTCAGAAAATGGGTGGATGTTTTTGTTTAGTGCCACAGAAAAATCTAAATGTAACTGGTTGATTTGTATTACTCTTTGATTTGAGCATTAATTATAAGTGGTCAAACGTATCAAGAATTATTATCTGGTAATGTGAAGGCATGCCTGTGAGCTGATACACAGTCATTTATGTTTGATTTCACCGAGATTTCTTTCTCACCTCTCAGACTATAACCCAAAAAATGAAAGCAAGGGAACTTTAACTTCAAAGAGCCCAATTGAGAAAGGTGGGAATACTGTTAAAGGGACGAAGAGTCGTTTTCCCAGAGCAGCTACATCTCGAGCTGAGAGGATATGGCCCGGGGGAGTCATTCCCTACATCATTGGAGGAAACTTCACTGGTAAGCAGCTCCATAGGGTTGTTGTCACTCAATTTTCAGCAGTAAAATGTGATTCCATTAAAGCAAGATGTGTCATTTTTTTTGTTTCAGGTAGTCAGAGGGCCATGTTCAAGCAGGCCATGCGTCACTGGGAGAAACAGACATGCGTAACTTTCATTGAGAAGACAGATGAAGAAAGTTATATAGTCTTCACTTACAGACCCTGCGGGTGAGTGCGCAAGAGGCCTTTGTATTTTTCTGACCGTGTGTGTGATTGTGTGTGTGCACCTAGAGTTCACTAGTGACCTTGTCACGGTGAGAGACGATATGGTCACTCAACAATGGCTCCACTTTCCTTCCTGTCCTGCTCCTGTTTCCCCATCCCACCAATCACACAGCTTGGTTTAAGTGTTTGTATGTTTGTGCAGTTCTTTTGTCCATGCTCTGCAGAAGTGCATTGTTCTGTCGAGTGGCAGCACGGTGGGGTCAGAGTGTGTTTGTACAGTGGTGACACTTAACTTACTGAATGTTCTAAGTTATGGGGCTTTGGGGAGACTGAGATCAGAACAGTAGGGTCGTGCAAACGGATGATAGGATAAGATATACAGCCAAGCAAAAGTGTTAATGTTGAGGTTACAAGTTTTCATAAAAGAATTACCCCACAGCAAAAATACCAACACCTCTGCAGTCGCAACCTAAAATGACATTTATTGAAAGTTAATTAATTAAGTTTTGGTGACGGTGAGGACGTTTGGACTTTTCCTCCGCAAGGACAAGCAGACAAGCAAGGAAATTTCATGTAAAATGTAATGGAAAAGTAACATGATCTTGCCAATGAGTATGGTATGGACTCTTTGATAAAACTGCTGATGCGGTGAAATTGATTTCTTAAACATGCAAACTGTTTCTTTGCTCCAATGAGCACATTGGATTCCTGATCAAAATCTTTGATTATTAAAATTTGGCACCATTAATTTTCTTATGACAAGTTCAAACATATAATTTGATCATGTCTAAATGATATGTTTCTCTAAATGAATATTCTAAAGATGTTTTTTAATACTGCAAGCTATTTCTGTGAGCAGAAGATCTGCAACTTAACTACCGATGTCATTCGTCTCATTTATCATGTGATAGGCTGGCTGCATGAGAGATTAAACACTTTAATCTGATGTATAAATACCCTGCACCTTGGATGGGCGCCATGTATGTGAAAAAGAAGAAAGCTGTGCATATCCTGGTATATTAATGCTGATGTTGCAAATTGAAAGCTGCAAAGAACAAATCCAGCGCTCTGACTCCTGATCCTTTCCATGCAACCAGCTCACTGGATAACTTTAATCAGATTTGTTAGCTTGGCACCGATGTCCCTGGTAACCAGAAATGGGAATCATTTTGTGTGTGTGTGTTGTGTGTGTGTTGTGTTGTGTGCGTATGTGTGTTTAAGAGAAACGTGACCTCACACAGGTTGATATTCACTGGGTTATAAACCTGCAGTGTCATCACAGTATATGTAAATAAATCATTGCTCTCTGCCTCTGGTGGCTGTAGTACACAGCAGGAAATCCTGAAAGGGCCGTGTATTTGTGTGAGTGTGTTCGCATGTGTCTATGTGTTCATTGTTGAATACACACTGTTGATGCTTTAGTAGTGAATATTATCTGCTTATCTCCCTGCTATCAACTTCCCACTAATCCATATTAGGTGTTGTTCATATGTGGGTCGTCGTGGCAATGGACCCCAAGCCATCTCCATTGGAAAGAACTGTGACAAGTTTGGCATTGTGGTGCATGAACTGGGGCATGTCATAGGCTTTTGGCATGAGCACACACGGCCTGATCGTGACGATCATGTGACCATAATCCGGGATAACATCCAACCAGGTGAGAATCATTACTCAGGAAACACATAGGTCTCTGTTAGATTGAAGTTGTTTCCCATCTATATACAAGTGACAATGTTACTGAATTTTCACTCATACCTGAGTTGGAGTAAGTGTGAATGGGCCTTTTAATGACTGTGAAGTCACCTACATGGCTGTCATTGCTGTCTGTCACTTCTCAAACACAATTCTCTGCAGCCCAACACAGTCTGACAGGTGTTGCATCAAATTGCAATGCAGTGTATCACAGCTGACCCGTGGTTTTATTCAGAATATTAGTGCTGTCAACAACTGCCCCATTGGACTTCCATTATTTTGATGAATGACCTTAATATGCCTTCTTTTATTTAGACTACCTCTTTTATATTCTTTTCAGGAATGTTTTTTGTGCACTTAGTTTATAAATTATATATATGTGTGTGCCCTTATAGGAACACACCTTGCAGTTATTCTTGGGTGATGCATAATGAAAGTCTAAAATGCTTCTATATCTGCCTGTGTGAAAATGTGTGTCTCTGCGCGCGTGTGTTTGCACAATGTGTGGGATCCAGGCCAGGAGTACAACTTCCTGAAGATGGAGCCAGGGGAGGTGAACTCTCTCGGGGAGCCATATGATTTTGATAGCATAATGCATTATGCCAGGAACACTTTTTCACGGTAACCACTTGCAACAGCAGCTTGTCTTTTGAATTTGTAACATTAACTTATGCATGGACTCATTTTTCGCAAATGTAAGCTCTTCTCAGTAATTTTGGAAAACTAAATCATTAGACCAAAACACTAATCATTAGAATTGAGTTTTTTGTGTTTCTGCATTGGTGATTTGGCTTACTGTGATGGGTATAGCCATCATTTGCTTTTGTTACTTTGTAGATAAAACATATCTACAAAGAATAGTTGTTTTTGAAGGCAAATGGTTATAAAGTCAGGCATATTCAGTCTTGTAAGGCTAGCAACTGCCAGTCTACGAAGGGCTATGATGGCTAATGTAAAACATTCAAGCAACCTGCCCACATTAGAATACCAAATCAAAATTCACAACATTCTCAAACTTGGCAGATTGTGTAGTTACAATTCTGCACAATTCCACATGGGCTGCAGTCAACACTGGTTTCTCCAGTCATATCTGTAACCGTTTAAGCTTGTGGCCCTCTATCTCTTTATTAATCTTTCTACTGTTAGGTAACCATCAGAGGAGAATTTAAGTTTAATGCTGCCAGGATTGAAAAAACTTATTTTTAAGCATTTCCTTTTATAATTGTCCAGTTTGCCTTTGGAAAGAACAGTCATTGATCATGTTTACCTGCTTTCTGTGTGTGAGTGGGTACTCTTTACACGTTTTAACTCGAACCTGCATGGAAAAGAAAACTATTTTGACATGGGTGTAACTTTTTCCAGTTAAAGATACACATACAGAGACACATATGTTGCACTACGCTGTTCTGTTACACCGATTGAAACTCTGTTGAAACTGTGCTACTTCCTATTTCCTAGTGGGATGTTCCTCGACACCATTCTTCCCTCAAGAGATGAAAATGGGGTCCGGCCTGCCATTGGTCAGCGGACCAGGCTCAGCAAAGGAGACATTGCACAGGCAAGGAAGCTGTATAGATGTCCAGGTACTGATATATATTTACTACGACACCACAGCTTCCTCTGTCGTTGTGATGTGTATCTGTGCCGTCATTATCATAAAGATAGAATAGGTGAATTGTATGTGTTTTTATGTTTTAGCATGAAATTGGTTCATCCCTTCAAGGCACAGGAATGAAGTTGTGTAATTTGTCTTTCTATTTTCCTTCTCAAACTCCTCCATAGAGTTCTTGTGCACACCCATGTTGCTCTGGCGTTCCTCTGGCCCCTGGTGAATTGTTCTGACGTGATCTGGATTTGTTCACACTGTGCTGTTCTGTAATATTATAACGGTTTATGATCGCAAATGTGCCAATGCTTACGAGCCCACACGTACTCTGTTACATCCCAAAGGCGAAGATACAAAATGAGACAAACAAATGACGTTAAGTGTAATCTTGTGTTTGGCTTTTTTTTTGTTTTTTGCTGATTTCATTTTGTGGAAATATTGGTGGACGATTTAATTCACCAACATTCTACTGAGTTGCCTCAATAGTTTATATGTGAGAAAGTTTGTCTCTGTCTGTGTTAGTGAGTCTCAGCTGGAAATAGATACAACCTTAACCGTATAAGGTCATATTTAAGGGATACCATATTCCCTGACAGATGAATAGAGCCCCAGGGCATTGTGGGGAGGAAAACAGCATGCATAATGGGATAGGAAGGGTTCATTTGGCAACCCTCCTTTTTTAAAGAAAGTGGCAGTATTTAACTCACAATGAAGATGAATGAGGGGAATTATTGGTTGATTTTCTCTTCCACGAGTGCCCATTCAGCTGCTGTTGCTCTGTTTGATACCTTCACAGTCATGAATTATAAGGTCTGCCAAATGTAGCCTCCTTAAAGCAAGAGTGAGAGAGGCCAAAAGCAACATGAAACAATGTGTTATTTATTTCTTATTTGGGGAAGTGGGGTTTGATTTCAGTTCCTTTACTGCTTTCTGAGTTGCTCTTAACAGTTTCCATATGAAAATATCTAGTACTTCAACTGTACCACAAAATGAGCACACATGAGATTGTTGTTTTGTCTGTAAAACATTAATTTTGGTTCACTGGCAGTTGGAGAATGTATTTAGTTCAAATCGAAAATAATTATAGACATTAAACCAATGTGTTGATTACTAATGTACCAAACATGAATTATGGTCTCTAAACAACAGCAGAACTTGTTTCATGAATATAACACCATCTGTCTGTTTGTTTTTGTGTATTGTAGCATGTGGAGAGACACTTCAGGAGTCAACCGGCAACTTCACATCTCCCGGTTACCCCAATGGATACCCTTCATACACACACTGTGTCTGGAGAATATCTGTTACTCCAGGAGAAAAGGTGTGTACACACATACATTCAGTTAATGTGTCAACCCCAAAGAAACTCTACATTTCTTTTATCCTAAACTAAAGATACTCTGTTAAGAGCAAATATAGAGATGAATTCAATTGCATATTTCCTTATGCTTTCATTTTTCTGCACTTTCAGATCGTTCTTAACTTCACCACGATGGATTTATATAAAAGCAGTCTGTGCTGGTATGACTACATCGAGGTTCGGGATGGATACTGGAGGAAAGCTCCACTACTAGGTAAGTTTATGGCAAAGGCTAATAAACAGTCCTGTGTTGTATTCAATGTTTATGTCAACTTTGAACAAGAGCATATATTCTTTTACCAATGACGTTAACTGTCTTGAGCATATGTTTCTAAATGTTTCACATTATTAGAAATAACTATTCCCTCAAAGCATTCGCAACATTTCTTCCAGCTACAGGACATTTTATTAAAAAGTGATAAATGGCTTTTAATTTTCTTCTTGACACATTACAAGTACTAAGTACCAATAAGCTGCGCTGACACAATTCTGGTGCTACAAATGTCAGTGAGGAGGTCGAGGCTGAGCCAGTAAATGCAGGTGAGGTCTGATGAGCTGCCAAGATGCTCCACAGCTGTTCCTACTCCATTGAGCGTTGACTTTCAAACATAGTTTCAGCAAAACTAGACCTATAAATTCTAAGATCTATCTATTACGAAATAAGAAGGAAATATCACTTCACTACCTTTTGGAAGAAATGAAAATAAAATCTAAACGGCCAAACATAAGATGACATATGCTACTGTATAATTCTTAGTGAAACTAAGCTAACATGCAAAGGAAGTGTGTGCATATGTATGGAAAACTAGTTACAGCCTTACTTCTCTCTTAAGAAAAAAGAGCCTAAATCGCACCCAGGGACTGCTAATTGAATACAATTATTTAATTGTCCATGCACAAGTGTCAGTACAGTACCTCCATAAAAGTAGAAGTCCTCTGTGTTTGCAGGTCTGGAGCATTCAGTTGTCTGTTAACACAATATTAAAGAGGAAAGACATCATCAGAGATCTTGGAGAATTTAAAAAACAGTTATAAGACAATTTGGGGTCTGCGTACTCTGGAAAGATTTGACACAAATTTAAATATTTTGGACAGCTGCTGATCTTCCTCAGGGAAGGCCAGACAGTGAAATGCTCAGAACAGGAGCTCCATCTGCCACTCTACAGGCCTCAGTTGGCATATTAAACATTCAAGTTCATGACTGCTACTCAAGAAAGGAAAGCGGGAGAAATCCTGATCACTGAAAAACGTGGCAGAATAGTTCAGGTTTACATAATTGGACCTGAACAAACCACAACACTTCTGTGTGACCGTAATGCACAGCTTCACATTTGGTGGAAACCAAACACAGCAAATCAGCATAAACACCTCATACCAACTGTCAAGTACTGTTGCAGCAGTTATGATTTGGAATCATTTGAAGCCACAGGACCTGGACGCCTCGCAGTTGTTGAGTTGACTGTGCGCTCCTCTGTCAACCAAAGAATTGTAGACGTGAGGCCGTGTGGCCATCTGTCTGACAGCTAAAGAAAGGTTGAAACTGGGTCATTTAACAAGACAGTGACCCCATGGGCAGTAACACTACACTCTACAAAAGAAAATAATAAGGATTGTGTAATGGCCTACTGGAGGTGTATTTACCTCATTTCAAGAACTCCTGAGAAATAAATGTATGTCTATTGTTTTCAAGACATTCTTAACTCTAAAAATTGAAACAATTATTTATTTTTGTTATTCTTACCTTGTAGTTCCTCTGGATGTTATACATGCAAGTTTTCCTCATAAAGTATAAACATCTTTATATTAATATATGCAGAAGGTATTACAACAACATGTTGTTTTGCCTTGCTTTGGAGAATTATCTAACAGACTAATCTAAGAATAATACTTAACGTAATTCTGTCACGTTTAAAATGTTGTCACATCACGTCTCATAAACTATCTTGTTATCGGATTGCAGGATTTGCTGGGTTTCCATTGGTATGTGTGTCTGTTTTACAGGGAGGTTTTGTGGAGACAAAATTCCTGACGTTTTGATTTCAACCGATAGCAGAATGTGGATTGAGTTTCGCAGCAGCAGCAATTGGGTGGGGAAAGGCTTTGCTGCAGTTTATGAAGGTAACACGCCCAATAAGCCAAACAAATATACTATTAGCAGCATAGATACATATGAATACAAACACTGTAAAGCCTGTGTTAGCCCTGACTCTGAATTCGATGAGCTTGTGACTTTTGTGAGCGTTTTTCTTGGTGCTTTCAATATTCATCATGTACACAAACTGTGTTTCAGGTGTGTGTGGTTAGTGCAGCTGATGCTAAACCATCCTGTCTCTGACTCTTTTGTCTTATGCAGCAATCTGTGGAGGAGAAATCACCAAGGACTCAGGACAGATTCAGTCTCCCAACTATCCCGATGACTACAGACCTTCCAAAGAGTGTGTGTGGAGGATCACTGTGTCTGAGGGATACAACGTTGGTCTCAGCTTCCAGGCCTTTGAGGTAAACAACTCTGTGTGTGTGTGTGTGTGTATGCGCGTGTCTTTGCCTGTGGGTGCTTGCCTTGGAATGTCTGGGTCAAATTTCACGCTGGTATGGCTGTTAAGAAGCTGACAAAGGTGGTTGTGCGTGTTTATGCATGTGTTTGTGTGGTTTTTGTGTATGCATGAGTGTACAGGGGCACAAGGCTGGCAGCTGAGGATTAATTCCACAGTTGGAATGCTGTAAAATGTCAGACTGACAATGTTACACATCACATCCACGGCTTTTTGTGATTCGGGAACATACTGTGAATTTTACCTGCTAAACATCATCAACATTTTGCAGGTGAAATAGTATTTTATGGCCAGAGTGCCCATGAACATTTTGCTGGCAAAAGCAACTGAGTAGATGATGCTTGTGTCAATTATGAGCAACACACAGGGTTATTCATCATAACACTGAATTCTGCTCTTGTGTGATGAAAATCTGATTCTATTAAGCACAAAACTGAAAAACATGAATAATTTGGCTCAATAGAACAGAAGCATCCACGTGTTGGAGCTTATGGACCAATCAGAGGATTGCTAAAGTTTGAGGTGTGAGTTCCGGCTCAGTAGCCCCTTTTGTGGCAGCGACTTAGATTACATAGGGACTTTCTGTGTATGTTACTTAGACACACTGTGTTTGGTGGTTGTAGTTAACAGTTTAGATCCTGGTTCATGTTGTTTTTTGCACATGTTGATTAACTAACCAATAAAACAATTATTACACTTTTTTTACTGGAAGAAAAATTTCCCCAACAAATCAATATGTTGTCAGCTAAAGTCAACTGGTCAAAGAAGCATGACAATGACCAGTAACGCCTGGACTTTGACTGCTAAGGGAAAGTGTTTCCTAATAATTCATTCTTCACTAGGAGAACAACAGCTAACTATCAACACAGATGTTACACTTGGGGAAACATGAGTCTTCATTGCTACTGTTTTGTACATTTTCCAGCTATTCTGAAACTGACAGCAACAACTTACAAAGAAAAAGAGTCTAATCTGATTTTACTGCACGACTGCTGGCAGCTCAGTCTGTGTCTTGCTGTGTGGGGCTTTTATCCACCAAATAGTTTGAATCACACAATTTGCCTCATTTCATAAGAGAAGCTCGCTTTCATTTGTAAAACTTGTGTCCAGTATGGATCGAGTCTGCAGAATACCGTGTCATGCCATCCAACATGTAGTCATGATTAAAGGGTTGGCTCCATTTGAAATGAGTAGTAGTTACTTGAGTGGTTCTGATTGCATTACATTACCGAAAGCAGTGCAAGTGTTAAACGCGAAGAGAAAATACTTAATTATTTTAGCAGATGATGATTGTGGCAGATGGTTAAATTATTAAAATAGGATTGGTCTTGAAAGGTTTTTCCACGCGCTTACATGTTGGAGTAGACTGACAATGTATATCTATGAGTGAAAGTATAGCCAGGACTTATGTGTCATCAGACAATAAGAGTGTTAGGCATGCATTCGTCTAGCAAAGAGAATTGAAATAAATTTCACTATTTAAACCAACCTTAAGATACAATGATCAAAGCTTTAGTCTAGACAAAAATATGAACTACATACAACTTGACTTCTTTAAGGAAGTATTTCTAGTTTGTATTACAACACAGGGGTCGTCTGAGGGTATTTTATGCAGATGGAGCAAAGATTTTTCAGGATTACAGAAAGAAAACTACAATTTTCCTTTGGAAGCAGTTAAAAAATCCCTCCAAGCAAACCCGAACCTAAGGAAAAATAGCTGGAAAAACCAATGGGGATAGAAAAGTTACAAAAATGCAACAAAACGATAAATGTTTCATCCAACATCTAAACATATTAATGCCCTGAGACATTTGATGGTGAAAAGGATGACTTAGAGATCTCTTCAGTTATATTTGTCTCACCGTAAGTTTGTGCACATTTACTTGATTTCTGGTTTAGATTGAGAGGCATGACAGCTGTGCCTACGACTACTTGGAAGTCCGGGATGGGCCACTTGAAACCAGCCCTCTGATCGGTCGCTTCTGTGGCTATGACAAACCTGAAGACGTCCGCTCTACTTCACACACTTTATGGATGAAGTTTGTATCAGATGGGACGGTGAACAAGGCCGGCTTTGCTGCCAACTTTTTCAAAGGTGTGTGATCATGTCTGGAAAAAAAAAAATCAGTTAAATGTGTTTTCTCTCATGGTTTTGTTACCAAAGTATTTTTCATGTGCTGTCACACCATTCAGAGGAAGATGAGTGTGCCAAGCCAGACAATGGTGGATGCGAGCAGAGATGTGTAAACACTCTTGGCAGCTTTAAGTGTGCTTGTGACCCGGGTTACGAACTGGCCCCTGACAAGAAAAGCTGTGAAGGTAACAGTGTGTGTGTGTTTGTGCGTGAGAGAGAGAAAATATCTGTGTGGAGTCAATTTGTTTAATTCATGTGGGTATGTACCTTCTCAAATGTGGTGCTTCATATTTCTGTAGGATATGTGTCTGTCTCAATATAAAGAAACTTCTAAATGACCTCCATCAACAGGAAAAACACACAAAGCACAGATCCAGATGCCTTGTTTCAATGCCACACATGTCCATTAATCCAACAAACTAGATTAATTATGTGTAATGACCCACATGCAGGAACAAATGAGCAAACCACATCTGAGGTTGACAGTGAAATGAAAGTGCTGGTTAAATATCTATGTTGTGGGTTTCCTCAAAAGCTGAAGTTACACATTCTAAATGTTTGCATGTGCTGAAGAATTAAATAGAGAGTAGTACTCTTTTCTAGGGTAATGTTATAGTCTATGTAAAGTTACCCTGGTTAAAAGGGTTTAAATAAGTATTACGCAATAAAAATACCCAGATCTCTGCTCATATTATGGGGTCATAAAAAGGTCAGGGGAGGCTAAGAGAGGGTTTTGGAATTAGTGTGCATTATAATTATTAACACTGCCCACTTTTGCATGAAAAAATAGCCACTGGTTGCACAACACCTCGAACAAACTCTTAAACCCAAAAACTGCACTAATTAATGGGTTTCCTTTGGGAAGCTTTCCAAACCTCTGGCTTGTTTCCTGAATCAAAGAGGAATGCCACGTAACCTTTGTGCTCCCAGTATTTTTTTTTCACCTTTCAATAGCTCATGTATTTGTATCTGCATCTAATTTGCTCACAACTGTGTGTTGGCAGCGGCATGTGGTGGTCTACTGTCCAAGTTAAATGGAACCATTAGCACTCCTGGCTGGCCAAAAGAATATCCACCCAACAAGAACTGTGTGTGGCAGGTGGTGGCTCCCAATCAGTACCGCATCTCCATGCAGTTTGAGGCCTTTGAGCTGGAGGGCAATGAGGTCAGTAACTACATATACATGCAGGTCGTAGTACTTCACATTTTAACCTCAATATGAATAATATTCTTGCATTAACATGACCTTCAGGCAAGATTTATTCTATATGCAGAGCTGACTAATGATCTATGACCACATTATGTCCCATATGCAATATTTTGGCCCACTGAAAGGTTTATTTGCAACCATATTCCTCAATATATGGAGCTTTAGCCTTGACAGGTTTGTCCTTCAAGTGTATCTTTTTTTAAAGGCAGTCTTCCCATTGTGCACTGAACTGTGCTGAGGATTATTTTTCCGCATTTTTTAATAAAAACAAGCATCCGGCTAATTAAAAGCAATTAAGATGCATGTCTGTTGTCATAATAAATAAAAAAATCAGCATATATCACATGATTTGTTACATTATGTATGCTTGACATAGGATTTTGTTCCAGTTACGGTGATAGTGGAATTTGTTCTGAGTAAAGTCTTTGTCAGGTTAAAGTATTAATATTGCTGACCATCTTAGCGTCACAAGCATTTTTGCATGTTGATGAACCAGCATTTTCTTTTTGAGTGTCATGAGAGCCTTACAGTGTGGTCTTTTTAGGTGTGTAAATACGATTACGTTGAGGTACGGAGTGGCCTCTCATCCGACTCTAAGCTGCATGGCAAATACTGTGGCACAGAAGTCCCAGAAGTCATCACATCTCAGTACAACAACATGAGGATCGAGTTCAAGTCTGACAACACCGTCTCAAAGAAAGGCTTCAAAGCTCACTTCTTCTCAGGTGAGGTTCCCGAGTAAATGTGTTTGCATGCCTTTATCAGAGGGTTGCAATTAGGAGGTTTTTAACCAAAATGAGCGTTTGAAACACCAAGTGTACAGTCAGATATGGGAGCAGTGAAATATAGTGCAGGAGTGGTTTGTGGGTTTTGATTCTTGACACCACTGGAATTCACTGAAACTGCCAGATCTACAAGGTTAGCTCAGTGCCTGTCCTTCCTAAAAAAAATCATAAATTTTGAAGCTGAGAGATGTTTGATAGTTTATATCACATTTGTATTGCTTTTGATAGGATATGTTTGCAAACGATAGATAACAGCCCACCCAGAGTGTTTGTTGTGTCCAAGAAGTCCTACAATTTTCATATTAGTTCTTACTAGTGGTCAGCATATTTATTTTGGTATGTTAAATTTATCGTCAAACCAAACATAATATGAAGTACTTGAACTTCCATCAATCTTATCACAGTTTTTTCATATTTAGTCAGTATGAATAACGGATTGAATTGTGAGCAGTAATTATGTCATTATTAAGATAGCTGGTTGAATATGCCCTTCAAAGGGTCCTGGGAATGATTATTGTAAAAGAAGAGGTTTGGAAGAACAGATGAGTTGACTTGAAGAGGCATTGTTGGTATATTATTTTTTTTTGTCTGATCAACTCTGTATTCGGCTGTGGCTGCTTGTGAGTTTCAGCACCTAATAAATATCCGGATTAGTGTTGCTCTTTGTGCCTGTGTCTTGTCTGTCATGCTGTGGCCTGAGTTTCCACCTGGGGTGAGGCCTCCTGCACCCACCCTGCGCTCTGCCCTCTCTTTCTCAGACAGACTGGCACTTTGTAAGGAGCGTATGTTTGTGTTTGAATCATGCAAGGACAGAAAGCGCAACCGTTCTCCAATTCGTGGTCGTGTCACCAACAAGCTGTCTGCCTCATCAAAGTTCAGAGGTAAAATGACCTCACAATCGGGATGTCCGATTGGTTCTGGCCCAGAGCGTGATACAAGGAAATGGATGGATCCTTTAGTAGTGATATGGATCATCGTTCAATCCATTTGCCTCCACAGATAAATGTGCTGTGGTTCACTTTCCTGCTTCCATTATGAGGTATCAACCAAGCTTGGGCTACAACTTAAAAAACATGATTTCACAGGAATCACATCATGATGATCTGATGTTACCATCACATCATTCTACAAATTTCTCTTGTCCAAATGAATGATTCCTTGCAAGCTGTGACTAAAAACCTCTTCCCTTTTCTCGATACATTGTGTTATGGGACAGGAGTGCCCGTTGACACGAAACTGAAATATTAACACAAAAACTGCTTCAGTGGATTTCTGAGGGCCAGTAAAAGTCGGTTAGAGTTACATTCTTCTCGATTTTCTTTTGTTGTCTAATTGTCCATCTGGGGCACAGTCACGTCTTATGGGTACAATTATACCTTAAGGTAAGGATCCAGACTTCACATGTCTTTTTCCTGTGTTGCTTTTAAAGAAAATAATGACAGGCTTAACTATCGATCGCAATTATATCGGACTTTTATTAGAAGAAAACTTGTTAGGTGGACAGCATCATCTAACTCCTACTATCTGCAGAGCTCATGGACCTCCCGATCCCTAGATTATGGTTCCAGTCAGAAATGACTCTGATAAAGATGATATTTGCGCGACTGTGTTTTGTCAATATTGCCATATGGCTCATACTATTGGCAGAAGGTTCCACGGATAGCTTTTTGTTGGCCAAAAGCCGTCATCTGCAGGGAGGTCCCTTCAGCCTCCCATGTACTACTAATCCATGTGAGTGTGTTTGTGCACTTGGGAGTGCGTGTGGACATTTTGTGCTTGACCTGAAGACAGCTACAATGAACACTGCGCGGCATCTCCTGCAAAGCTTCTTAGCCAGTGATAGGGTGAGACTGAGCCCACAATAGCACCATAATACCACATCAGACACACAGACTCAAACTCACACACACAGATGACGGGAGAGGGAGAAGGAGGATTTGGTGGTTTCATTAAAATCAGATCCAGTTGAGTTGAGGTGAGAGTCAGTGTCTGTGTGTAATCTCACACCTCCTTATAGAAATATGTTTTTTTTTTTGCTCCCAGGCACAAACACATAACTAAAATCTGCTTGGTCTCCCACACTACACTGTAGATTGTTTAGTTTTCTGTGTTTTCATCAGCCCGTCTCACCTCTCCATCCTCATTCTACATCCAGCGTGGCAGCTCCACGTAGTGCAAGTCTTCCCTGCCTCTTCCACCTCCACCCTGTCATTTGCTCTGCTGGAGCAGCATCATCTGTCCTCACCAAAGTGCTTTGTTGTTGGCCAGACACCAAGGGTGGAAGCTAAGCGGTTAGAGGGAGCCATGATCTAAAGGTTTAAGGCAGGAAAATGACCGAGACAAGAGGCATTGAAATGTATTGTTTCTTTGTTCATATTTTGATAGGAAAATCCTAGATAGATAGATAGATAGATAGATAGATAGATAGATAGATAGATAG